CTTCTCCTCCATTCTCCTCTCGGGATCTTGGGCACACACATACATGCGCCCAGCGTGAGTTTTAAGCCACTGGGTCCGGGGCGCAAACCGCGGTCGACTACGTGGGAGTCCAGCAACATAGCCATTACGCTAACTGCTGGTTCTCCTCAAATAATAATTTTTAACAGCAAACCAATTCTCATTCTATTGTTCAGTGCTCCTGCAAGTGTGTTTTCCAAGATAGTTCTTGAAATACTAACAAATACTTTTCCCAGATATGAAAGTCAAGAGGACTGTTAACGAAGTCTTAGATCTTCAATATCACCATTATACTGCATTAGTGAGGGCTGCCCAGGCCAAACATACATGGCCTGGTCTCCTTAAAAGGTCTTCATTTTCCTTTTCCACACAAACACTTCCATGTTAATGTTTACCTTAAAGAGAGACAAAAAACATCAACCATACACAGACACAGCAAGAATACTCGACTATGAGTCCAAATGCTGGTCTTACCACTTGGGATAAGGGACTTGATAACTCTAGCCCTCTGAGTTCCAGTTTTCCCAAGTGTAAAATAAAATAATAATACCTGTACCTTTCATATCTCACAGGGTTTCTGATTTCTGTGAGCATCAGGTGAAATAAGTGATGTGAACATGATTGTAACCCATTGAAGCCCCACACAGAGAGTCAGTTTACTACCTCTTGTCCTTACTTCTAGTATTAAGTCTGGTCTTCTCATCTTTTCAAACTAAAATCTGCTTCACTGTTGCCAACTGCAAATATCATCTCTACACCTGGAATTATAAATATCCATTTTTTTCCTGGGAGGAAATTCTGTCAAAATTGAAAGAGTTGTGGACTCGGGGACTTCACAGCAATCTAATAATGCCTGTTAGAGTCGGCAGCACTCAGGACCAAGAGGAGCACCACAGACAAGAGCAGCCAACTAGAAATGCACCCACGCCTAGCATGCAGGTATTTTTGTTTGTTTGTTTATCAATAATACTGGAGTCCAGGGGCTGGCAGGTGGTATGGTGGTTAAGGGCACTGGACTCCCACATGGCTGACCCCAGGTCGAGTCTCAGACCTGGTGGGCT